TTTTTCTTTCCCTGCTCATGTTGTCTTCTGTAGATATTCCAGTTACATGTATGTTAGACTCTGTGATTCATTCTTTAGCTTCCAGTAGTGTTGTTTACTTTTTTCTAATTTTTCACTGGTTTCCTCTCTCAGGTGATTGAGTTAGATAATTTCTTCTGGTCTGTCCTCAAATATACGGTCCTTTTTATTTTTTTTATTTTTTTTTTTGACAGGCAGAGTGGACAGTGAGAGAGAGAGACAGAGAGAAAGGTCTTCCTTTGCCGTTGGTTCACCCTCCAATGGCCGCCGCGGCCGGCGCACCGCGCTGATCCGATGGCAGGAGCCAGGAGCTGGGTGCTTCTCCTGGTCTCCCATGGGGTGCAGGGCCCAAGCACCTGGGCCATCCTCCACTGCACTCCCGGGCCACAGCAGAGAGCTGGCCTGGAAGAGGGGCAACCGGGACAGAATCCAGTGCCCCGACCGGGACTAGAACCCGGTGTGCCGGCGCCGCTAGGCGGAGGATTAGCCTAGTGAGCCGCGGCGCCAGCTCAGTCCTTTCTTTTTAAAGATTTATTTTATTTCTTTGATAGACAAGAGTGGCAGAATGACACACACACACACAGAGATGGAGAGATAGTGACAAAGAGCTCTTGTGTCTACTTGTTCACTGACCATCTGGCCACAACAGCCAGGGCTGGGGCAGGCTAAAGTCGGGAACCTAGAATTCCATCTGGGTCTCCCACAGGGGCTGCAGGGGTCCAAGCACTTGGGCCATCTTCTGTGGCTTTCCCAGGCGCTTTAACAGGGAGCTGGATCGGAAGTGGAGTGGCTGGGACTCAAACTGGTGCCCATATGGGATGCGAGTGTCACAGGCGGCAGCTTCAACCACTGACCCACGATGCCAGCCCACACCCTTTCTTCTATCTCAGATCTGTTAAGCTTATCTAGTGGATTTTTTTCCTTTAGATTATTAAACTTTTCAGTTCTGGAATTTTCATTTTTTATAATAATTTCTGCTTCCCTATTGAAATTTCTGTTCTCTCAATAAAACAATATTTTCCCTCATATGAATATATTTTTCTTTAGTTCTTTGAAGCTCTTTATATTAACTACTTTAAAGTCTTGTATGTTAAATAGGGTCAGCTTGGATCTTAGTAACTCCTTTTATCTTTTTGTGCTGATCACAAATTGTTTTTCCTTTTATATGTGCATGTTGATTAATTTTTTGTGAAGAATATTGTGGATGACATACTGGAGATTAGATTCTGTTACTCTCCTACATGGTATATTGAGGGATTTGTTTTGGTCTTTTGCTTTTCTAGACTTCGTTTTCCATTCTGTTAAGGCAGCTCTGTGGAAAGCCCAAGATACTACTTAGCCCCCTCCAGCATGGAGGGACTCAATCTACAAAGTATTTCTCTGAAGATCTTATGTATGCTTGCTTTTAGTCTTTGCTAGGGAGGTTTAGAGTAGACCCAGGGTGTGGCCTTTGTGTAGGAATTAGCTGGATGCCCAGGTGTTTGCACATTGTTGGGAAGCTGTGTCCGCTGTGGCTGGGCAGGGCCTTTAGTGTGTCCCATCATTGTTTAATCTTTAGTATTTGATGTATTTTCTACCTAGTGACAATCATGTTTTGTTATTCATCCAATGCTTGCATTTCCCACTCCATCAGTCCGTGGTTAAGGACTGGCAGAGGATTCTACTGGAAACATGATACCTCTCTAGTACTTAAGATTCAGCCTCTTTAATCTGAACTCTGACCTCTGCCTCTAAGCTTAGCAGACCTGTGATGCTCTTATGGACTCCAGTTTTTATATCCGGGCAGAGAGCCTAAACTAGAGTGGGCCTCAGGTTATGAGGAACACAGTAATGCACTGTCCAGTCCCTAAGAACAGTTACCTCATAGAGTTTATTCCTCTTGATGAGTTGTTAACAGTGGGAGATTAGTTTAGTGGTAACTAGCTAAGTGACTTCACCATACCGCAAGTGGTTGGTTCTCCATGGTTCCTACATTTGAAATTGATAGTATGTATTCTGATCTCAGGAGAAGAGCATTTCACATGATTTATAATTTGATTTTGATCTTTTGTGTTAAACAGTGAAGTTTACTGTCTTTTATATATGTGTGTGTGTTACTGATGTACACAGACAAATCTGAGTTTTTATATCTAAATCTTGTATCTGTATGTTATCTTTATTATATTAATGAGATTATTTTCTGTGTTCTAATGCTGATGGCGCATCACTAACCACGCCCTGCGGTGCAGGCAAACAGGGAGCTGCACTGCAGCGTCAAGGTCAGAGCTTGCAGAGAAGAGGTATTCTTGTATGGTTTTAAGGATGGCAGTGGAGATGCTTTCTTTTTAACATTACCCTTTTTAATAACTTGGAGTTTGCTTTTTAAACAAATTTACTAATATAATGCAAAGAAAAAGGATGCAGTATTACTTTAGTGACTTTTTGTCAAAATGTAATAAATCTGATTATTTGCAAACATCAGGCAAATCCAAGTTGAGAGACATTGGGTAGCTGGCTTTAGTCTTCCAAAATGCCAAGGCCAAGGAAAACCAGGAGATGCTGGCCAGATGGCAGAGAGAGAGTTATCTGAGGACTGAAGGCAGCGGGGAAATAAACCACTGTACATGATGTGGCCGTGACAAGTTACAGTGTTTGAATATAAATTGTGCATTAGATAATGTTACTATGTTAATAGTACAGTTCCTGATTTTGATAACTGTGCTGTGGTTATGAAAGTGTTATTGTTCTAAGGAAATACACGCTACAGTTTTCAGGTATTTTGAGGCTCGATGTTTCTAACTTATAATGATTCAGAAACTAATATTCAGGTTTTTCTCTCCCTCTCTCTGTTCATGTATATGTGTATGTCGATATAGCTACAAAATGATAAAACACAAGGCCAACATGTGAACAATTGGTATATTGGGTAAAAGGTATACAGGAGTTCCTTGTGGTACTATTACAGCTTTTCTTTAAGTTTGATATTATATCAAAGTAAAAGTAAGAAGTTATAACCGGAAAAATAGAATTTAGAAAAATATTTTTGATTGTAAGCACAGAGACCTGGACACTACCTAAAATAAAGAGGACACAGAAATCCTTTTGAATTCGAGTAAGCCCAGTACCATCCAGACCTTTGGAGCCTGAGGTTGCTTCTTCTGTGTTTCAGATGCTGTGTGCTTTCTAAGACTGCTGTTGCATATTCGCTTTACTTTCTTCTGTGTACTGCAGTCACCTGCTTGGTCAGATCACTGCTCTCTGGAATTTGGGGTTGGTCCCAGAAGCAGTTAACTTCCTGTCTTAGTTCAGAGGAGAGGGGCGTGGGGAGAGAGAATGAATGAATGAATATGATTATTTGTATGATTATTTACTAGCTAATGGATTGCTGAAGTGTGTGTCAGATTTTTATTCCTAATTTGGTCAATACAGGTTGAGGTAGGGCAGGTAGGGGTTGTGGGTTTAGGTGTGGTGGAACAGTTATACAGTATAGATGCCTGCCTCTTAGAAGCTGAGGCTGTGATAAATTCTCTAGGTGGAATTATGGAAAGATCCGTAGTAAATTACATCCCCTATACCTGGCCAAATTGGAATAATGCTTTTTTGGATTTAATCCTTTTTTAAAAAAACCTCTGTAATGCTTCTGTCAATGATCTTCACCTGGAATTAGGTCACCCGTCCCCATTTCTGCAGAATTGAGAATTACATGATACAGAGGCAAGAGAATAGACACATTCAGAATTTACTTTTTGCGTAGTAAATGGAGAATTCTCTCCTTCTCCACTGTTTATAAACTGTAAAAGTCATGAACTATATGATCTTAACTTTTGTTTTTAAGGTTTTAAAGTTTCATCTTGATATGTTGATTTGATAATGCACAAGCTTGTTAAGTTTATATTATTTGTTTTGTCTTTGAATCAGTAATTGACAATATAAAGTGAATTTCCAAAAAATTTTTAAGAAAATATTTTGACAATCATTTTCTAAAATTAAAAAAGATTCTTGAAGGTTGTAGACTGCTGACTTTGTGCCATGAATTGTATAATTTAAGGAGGGTCATTTAAATTATTTCATTGAATATAATTTTCATAATCCATTGAGGTAAAGGTAATTTTCCATAATTAGCAAAAGAAGAAATACGTTGAAGTGATGACTTGCCCAAAGTCATAACAGTTAATAGGTAGTGAAATTAGAGTTAGAAATGAGGTCAGACTCCAACATATATATTCTGTTAAAACAATCAAGTGGCCAAACACTCTCACATTGGAGACAATCAATTTTATGTTGTTCTTCTTAAAGCTTGTCAGTTCTGCTCTTTTAATTCTGGGATGCAGTCTTCATCGCCAACAAGCACAGGTTACGTTTTTTACTGGCCTTGTGAGAACACTGCTGTGTGTGGTTTTGCTTTGGGAAAGGTAGGAGTGAAGGAATGCACTAGAGGAGATGACATCACTGCTTTCTGGGAGTCCAGAAGAGACAACTGGGCAGCTGTTGAAAGAAATGTGTATCTGCCAGTACTTTGCCATTCTTACTGATGTTCGTTCTGAAATTGTCATACTTAAATATATAGGTTAGTAACAATATTTTTAAATGAATACATACATAGTTGTGAACCAAAAAATGGCTTGAAGACACAAAAATGAAAAATACTAAAACACTGTGTGGATTTGAATGTGAAAGCAAAATCTGACTATGAAATGGCCTTAAAAGTTCTCTGAGTGGGCGGAAAAGGGGGTAGGGGTAACTCATGACTCTGTCTTAGTATTGTCAGTTTGGCTACCAAGTGAAATTTATTGTAAAGACTTCAAATTAGTTTGGAAGTAATCAGAAAAATGTAATCAATATATACTGGCCTAGCTGATGTAGTTGCTGGAACCCGTGGCTACAAAGTAGAAGCGGGAGATGATACTCTCTTCTATATAGGGGGGAGTTCTTTTAATTTAAGTCTCTATTTCTGCCAAAGGAAAAAGTAAATTAATAACATCTTTAAAATATTTTCCTTGAAGTTGGACATGAAAACAAAAATGATGGAAGCTAAATTTCATGAAGAAAAGCTTAAGCTGCAGCAGAAACATGATGCTGATGTTCAGAAGGTAGGATTTATGTCACTTACTCTCTTATTTACATTGAATGTTTAAAATATTCCAGGTCTGGTGAGGCTCCATGTATGCAGCCATTGGTCCACTTATTGATGTACTTCATGGTAGCTCTTGTTGCAGATGGAATTTGCAAAGGTTCATGTGCCAGCAAAAGCTGACCTTTGCCTTCATTTACCAAGCAGATGTGTGTGTTTATGATGTTACATTCGCGTCACCTTTTAGTTGTATAGCGACTGCTTTTCCAGCAGCCATCTTGTCCTTCAACCTTCTGTCATCATCTCTGAGGAAAGCTGAAACAAGACGTCAGCTGTAAATGCCAGAGTTCGTTTTCTCCTAATATTCTTTCATTTTCCTGGCAATTAAATTTTTCTTTTTAACTTAAAAAGGAACTCTTCACAACTTAGTTCTGTTTGGTCTAGATTGCATCTTTTGTAAAGCTGGCATGATGAGGAAGAATTCTTTTTTAAGCAACTCACTGGGGTTAGGGCTTCCAGTCTTTCAACCTATAACTTTATTTTCCCCCTCTCTTCTTTATTTTTATAAAGGCAACAAGTCCCATGAACTCCATATATACAGTTCTAGGAGCATATTGATAAGTCCCACTCTACCCTTGCCCCCTTCTCTCTTGCTCCCACCCCTATCCTCCTTCCTTTTATATTTTTCTTTTAATTATACTTTCAATTTACTTTATAATCACAAGCTTAATCCTCCACTAGATAAAGAATTCGACAAGTAGTAAGTAGAAAAGCCACTGTTCCTCAAGAGTATAGACAAAGGTTATAAAAAATAAAATCTCAAAATGCCAATTTTGTTCATACACATTAAATTTTTTTACTCTGTGATATCATTCTCCACAAATCAGGGATTATGTGTGGTATTTGTATTTTTGGGGCTGGCTTCTTTTTTTTTTTTTTTACAGAGTGGACAGTGAGAGGGAAAGAGAGAGAAAGGTCTTCCTTTTGCCATTGGTTCACCCTCCAGTGGCCGCTGCGGCCGGCATGCTACGGCCGGCGCACCGCTATGATCCGACGGCAGGAGCCAGGTACTTATCCTGGTCTCCCATAGAGTGCAGGGCCCAAGTACTTGGGCCATCCTCCACTGCACTCCCTGGCCACAGCACAGAGCTGGCCTGGAAGAGGGGCAACCAGGACAGAATCTGGTGCCCCAACCAGGACTAGAACCCGGTGTGCCGGCACCGCAAGGCAGAGGATTAGCCTAGTGAGCTGCAGCGCCGGCCAAGGGGCTGGCTTATTTCACTAAGCGTAATGGTCTCCAGTTACATCCATTTTGTTGTGAAAGCCAGGATTTCGTTCGTTCTTAGGACTGACGGGGATGCCATCATGTGTACATACCACAGTTTATCCAGTCGTTAGTTGATAGACAGCTGGGTTGATAGCTGTATCTCAGCTGTTGTGAATTCAGCTGCTGTAAGCATGGGGTACAGGTAACTCTTTCATAAGCTGATTTGATTTCCTTTGCATGAATTCCCAGGAGTGGAATGATCAACTCTATGATAGATCTGTTTTCAGATTTCTGAGGAATCTCCATACTGATTCCACAATGGTTGTACAAGTTTACATTCCCCATCAAGAGTATGAAAGCTATTTTCTTCTTAACTGGCACAGCAAAAAGAATCAGTTAATGGTTAACCTACGTGAAATTTAAGTTTCTGGTATATTTTAGTAATAATTAAAATTTTGGTAATCATGTCTGTGTGTTTTAAATTCGTGAAGGATGATCCAAATGGAAACTTTGTATTACTGTTTCAAAATTGAGTTTATGGTTCTGTTTCCTAGAACTAAGTGACAGAGACAGAGGCTGGTAGTTGAAGTAACAACCTTATATATCCAAGCTTTCTTGAAAGCCTGAAATATACAACTTTTCTTTGTAGCTGCCACAGCAAAAATAATAAATTTATAATTAACCTACATGGAGTTTGAATTGATACTATATTTTAGTAATAATTAAAAATTAGTGTGTGTGTGTTTTAAGTACATGACAGCTAGTCCAGATAGAAGCCTAATCCTGATACATGCCATCTCCCCACGTATCTGGGAACTCTTGTGTGTGTTAGGTGATACAAGGGCACTGGTGGGAGCACTTAGGCTTGTGCTCAGTTGGAAGATATCCTATTCCAGCACAGTGTGGTGAACTGGACTAGCCCAACATGCAAGTTTCTGATAACTTGTCTCTGCCACTTTCTGAAAGTTTTGTTTCTGATTTGTATTTTAGGGCATCATATAATTTGTTATTTCTTCTCTTTTTAAACATTGCCACATGAATATTTCTAAACACACAACATTTCTTTTCATTTTCCAATCATCACTTATTCTAGCATATTTACTGATTTTCACAATGCACCATAAAATAATTTTATATTTTTTGAGAAACCATTTATGAGATTAACTGAGAGAGACTTGCAAAAATATTGTGCTCATATAAAAATTGTGTTTTTACTCAGAACAATACAGTATGCTAATACATTTTAAATTTATTTGCAGATTTTAGAAAGAAAGAATAATGAAATAGAAGAATTGAAAACTTTATACAAAAAGAAGCAAAATGAAACTGAGGAGACAATTAGAAAGCTTGAAAAGAAAGGTGATGTTGTGTTATTAAATAAATCTTTTAATAACATTTGCATTTTATTTTTGGTGACTGACAAAAGTAAAATATAATGCCCTGCCTTTCGTAGAGTGAGATGATAATGTTTCTGTGGGCTTCCGTCAATAGATGGATTTGTGTGAGCTCTGGATGACTGGTAAAAGTGTGTGTGTGTGTGTGTGTGGAGCCACAGTGGCAGTGAGGTGGAGGCAGTAGTTGGTTTGGAAACATGGAACTGTCGATCCTGAGCGTCTGTCCTCCTTGGAGTAGAGCTGCCTTAGATAACGTGAGTGCAGTAAAAAAATTAGGAATTACTGGCTTTCATGAAGAATTCAAAGGGAATTACTCCTTTCATCTGGTAAAATTTACTGCATTAAGTGCGTGCTTTATGGCTTATAGGATATGCCACTATTGTGATTGACAGAAAAAACTTGTCAAGTATTTGCCATCCGTACTGTCATTAAGAAGGAAAAGAAAGCATGCAAGTGTTACATTGATGATTTTGGTTCAAAACATCTAAATCAACAGGAGGTCATTGAAAATATTTTTTGTAGAAAAGATCTATTGTAAGATTTTGTAAAGTTGAGTAAGATTTGACTAGTTGGAGAGAAGTGTTCCAGGACCTGTGATAGGAATGCTATGAAGATGCTAAGTTGTGGAAAGGCTACTGTGAAACTGTTTAGCTAGTATGCATTCCCTAAACATGAAGAGATAGATCTAAGGAGATTGAGATGGCTGACTTGGGGCTAGATTAATCACGACCTTTAACTTCAGATTTAGAAGTTTGAACTTTATTCTTTTGGTGCTGGGAAGGGAGCCAAAGGAGGTTTTTGAGATGTGAATTTTTTTAAAGATTTATTTATTTATTTGGAAATCAGAGTTATATATATAGAGAGAGATCATGAGCTCCTCCATCTGCTGGTTCACTCCCTAGATGGCCACAATGGCCAGGACTGGGCCAGGCCGAAGCCAGGAACCAGCAGCTTCTTCTAGGTCTCCTGCATGGGTGGTAGGAGTCCAAACACTTCTGCCATCTTCTGCTGCCTTTTCCAGGCCATTGGCAGGGAGCTGGATCGGAGGCAGCCAGGGCTTGGGCCAGTGCCCATGTGGGGACTCTGACATCACAGGTGGCAGTTTTACCCAGCGTGCCGCAGCGGCAGCCCCTGAGATGTGAATTTCAGGAGGAATAGCCTGGTGGGCAGGTGTGTTGAACATAAGTGAGGCCAGTTCCTACTTTGTTACGGTAGTCAGAGGTAGAATAGAGTGATAGAACAGTCCACTGATAGAAAACATAGCTCTGATTCCAGTTCTGCTATTCTGTGTCTGATATATGACATCGGGAAGCCTCTGGGCCTTGATTTTCTCCTCACAAACGGTGACCTTGGGATAAGTACATGAACTTCGCTCTGACTGAAAGATGGTAGGCTTCTGTGCTACCCTAAGCTGTACTTAAGGTGATAAAGACCCAGAATATCTGAGGGGTTGCAGTGGAAGTAGTGAGAAGAGAGCTGACAGAAAAATTTTGCATGGAGTCAAGGCTTGGTGAGTGGTAAGAACGAGGCAGTGGGTAAGAGGAGAAGAGGAAGGAAGGTTTTCATGTAGGGGTTCCCAGGTGGAGCGTGCTGTTGCTCTCTCAAATCACCCAACCCGAATGACTGCATGAATGGAAATGTTTTGACAGTTTAGGATGGCAATTACATGTATAAATAAACCAGTGAAATGAATGTTTTTAGATTCCTTTTCAGTCTTAAATTTTGGTGAAAGTAATTAAAAATTTATTCAGGTTCTTTCTCCAAATGTTATCACTTGCTACAAAAATATTTATTTAAATTTATTTCCAGATTTCTTTCTTACTCTCATTCAAGCCAGCCAATTCAAACACGTGTCGCTCCCCGTCTTCGTGGAGGAACGACACAGGACCCTGCGCTGTTCTTTTGTCTGCTCGGCCCTCCCCGGGTTTGCTGCTGGTTCTTCCCGGGTTGGCTACTGTCCCTTCCACCTCCGTGGAAGGGCGGTTCCCCCTGCCACATTCCCCACTTCCGCAGGGGAGCGGCACACCGCTGGCCGGCTCTCTCGGAGGCTGCACAGGTGTTCCCCTTAGATGTTCCCCTTAGATGTTCCTGGTGCATGCCGTCTCTCTCCTCCTTTATAGTCCTCCTCCACCAATCCTAACTCGGCTGCCCACACGCCGAGTACGCTGCTCTCCTCCAATCAGGAGCAAGTCCTACAGTTTATTGGCTGAACTGGAGGCAGCTGTGTAGAAGCTGTTTTCTTCTCTCCCAGCGCCATATTGTGGGAGAGCAGATGCATAGAATAAGTCTTAATTCCAGTAACTTAGTCCAGTCCGGATTGCTCCCCACAACACGTAAGGTTTAAAAATACTAAAGTTTTAAAGCTGATGTTTCTTTTTTTAATTTTTATTTATTTATTTATTTGACAGAATTAGATAGTGAGAGAGAGAGACAGAGAGAAAGGTTCACCCCCCAAATGGCCGCTATGGCTGGCGCTGTGCCGATTAGGAGCCAGAACCCAGGTGCTTCCTCCTGGTCTCTCATGCTGGTGCAGGGCCCAAGCACTTGGGCCATCCTGCACTGCCCTCCCGGGCCACAGCAGAGAGCTGGACTGGAAGAGGAGCAACTGGGACTAGAACCCGGCATCCCATGGCTCTGCAAGGTGGAGGATTAACCAAGTGAGCCATGGCCCCGGGCTCCCCAAAACTGATGTTTCTTAAAGCTTTTCCTTTTTGTTATTTCTTTTATTTTTATTTTTTTACTCTTTTTTCTTTTAATTTTTAATTATTTTTAACAGTTTCCATGTGACTTGTAGATTAAATTCCAAGAACATAATGATATTCCCTTCCTTCCTCCTTCCTTTCCCACCCCTCCCAGCCTTATTCTTTCTCCCTTTCTGCCTTTTTTTTTTAGTTTTTGAGATAGCATATTTTAAATTTACATGACAATAAAAAGGCTTAATAAGAAGTTTAAAATAAAGAGCAAAAATACTCTTGTTTAGTGGGTATACAGACAGCAGCTATAAACAATCATTGAATGGAAAAATGACCATTTCACAGTAAATTTTAGTGTAATCACAAATTGTTAAAACTATAATAGAATAACATTCTTAACCATTGATTTGACAAAGATGTAAGAAAGTTTTTACAAAACTATATTTGCAGCAGTACTGGGTCACACAGATATTTCCTTTTCCCTTTTTTTTTTTTTTTTAACTTTTAGCTCCCACATATAAGGGAGAAAATGTGGTGTTTGTCTTTCTGGGTCCAGCTTATCTCTCTCAACATGGTGTCCTCCAGTTGTGTCCATTTTGCTGCAAATGGTGGAATTTCATTCTTTCGGATAGCTGAATAATAATATTTATTTCATTTTGCATGAAAGGCAGATACACACACACACATATGGAGAGAGAGAGCGCGCGCAATGGAGAGATCTTGCACTGGTTAACTCCCCAAATGCCTGCAGGAGCTGTAGCGGGCCTGGCTGAAATCTGGAGCCAGGGTACTCCATCGCAGTCTCCCACGTGGGTAATAGGAACCCAACTACTTGAGCCGTCAACTGCTGCACATTAGCCTGATGTGCCCATTAGTGTGAAGCTGGAATAGGAAGCAAAGCTGGGACTCCCAGCCCTCTGGTAGGGGAGCAGGCATCCCAAGTAGCGTCTTAACTGCTTTGCCAGCTGCCCGTGCCTTTTAAGATTTGATAATGCAGCCAAATCTTAATTTAATTTTGGAATTGTAAAGTAAAATGTGTTAAACATGTTAAAGAAAAGGTTAACTTGGATTCTTCTCCTTCCTTTATTTGTTACGTAGCTAAGATATGAATGAAAGAAATTTCTAGGGAAATGCTTATGAAAATTTTGCTATCTTGAAGTAACTGAATAAAAACATTCAGTTAACCAGGAAAATAATATTAAATTTAAGTAAAATACAGCTTAATTTATTTTATTATCCAAATAACTTGAATTTATTACGCAAATTTTCACTTAAATCAGTGACAGTTCAAGTAAATTTTTAATGAATATTTATTTATTTATTTGAAATGTAGAGTTCTAGAGAGAGAGAGCAGCTGGGACTTATGGGATGCCAGCACTGCAGACAGCGGCCTCCAATTTAAGTAAATTTAAAGATAGGAGTATAGATGATTTATAAATAAAATAGTTTATATAATTTTAACATTTTGATTTAGTCACATAATGTTGAAAACCATTTAAAAGTGTCTAGGAGCAGCTATATGGAAAGAAGATAATTTTTTTGTTCATTGGGCACATGTCTTTTTGAGCTCTTGCTTGTGTGAGACTGTTATGCTCTGTGGGTGAAAAGTTGAAATGTCTTTCTACTCAGAGAATATGGTCTTTGTCTTATTAAGGAGGAAATAGGAAAATGAATCCCTATAATGTAATATGCGGTTTAATGAACAAATGTGCAAAGTTTCATGGGAATAAAGAGGAGTTTCTTTGTGTGGTTGGGAGGGGAGGAGTCTGGTTGAAGAACTGCCTGTAGAGAAGGTGATACTTGGATTGAGACTCAGGATGGCAGGGGCTAGGGCGCACGTTCCACATCTGCATCGTGGATGATCCCATTCAGGCAGTAGATGTGGTATTGGGCTGTTTCTGATTACTATAATGATATAGCTGAGGCAGGCTGCCCTATAAATAAAAGCAGTTTATTTAGTTCAACTTCATAGGCCTAAAATACAAGCAAACAGCATAGCATCAGCCCTGGTGATTGGCTGCATAACCTCGTGGCTCATGGTGCCACGGTGGGAGCAGGTGCATGAGTGAGAGATGGCCTGGTGAGAGTGGGAAGCCAGAGACTGGGGTCCCACAGTCCCTTCTGAGGACACCCTTCCAGTTCACCTTCCACTAGATCTTGTGAAAGTTTCCACCACCTCCGTGAAGGTCAAGCCTGCCACATGAAGCTTTAAGGGACAAATAACATCCAAACCACAGCACGCAGGGTCTGTGAAATAGTATATCCTCAGTACTCTACACAGGCATCAACTATAGATGTGCCAAGAGATGTGGGGGGAATGGTTGGGCCTGGAGGAGTGTTTTGTGAGAGGCATTTTACCCCTGTGTGTTTAGGTGAGGAGAACTGTGCAGGGATTCCAAGGCAGGGGGTACTGTGCTATTGAAAGGCCTTTTCAAAACAACAGAGGACCCAGCCAAGGGGAACAGCACTAGAGGCCACACGCTGTGAAAAGGGCCTAGGGAGTGAAAAGGCCCTTCCTGGTGGTGGGAATGGAGAAGTCAGCAAAGTAGAAGAGATATTTCAGAAGAGGGAATTAAGAGGACATAGTGAAAATTAAATTAAATATTACTTGGTGCATCCTATTTTACGTCATCAAACTCTTATGTGGTAAACATAATTGGTTTAACTATATTTTTATCATTTTTGACAGTTCAGATCCTTATACGTGACTGTCAAGTTATTAGAGAGACTAAAGAAAACCAGATTGCAGAGCTAAAAAAGATATGTGAACAGAGTACAGAATCTCTAAAAAATGATTGGGAAAAGAAGGTAAGCTACTTTAAGTAGTATAGAAAATATAAAAGTTTGTGTTGCTAAGTAACATTTTTAATTATAAAAATAATGGTTTCACAGAATGTACAAAAAAGTATGAAAAAATAAAATGAAAATAACAAAATTCTAGACTTATTCTTTAGAAATAACTACTGTTCATATATATTTTCTTCTAGAAGTCTATGACCTAAAACTAGTTATTATTTAGAAAATATACTTTTGACTAATTTTTCCATGTAATCCCTATTCTGGAATTTTTGCCATAGCCAATACATTTTAAGCAAAATTGTTATGAAACTAACAATAGGACAGTTTTTAGAACTAAATCCTTTTAATCCTGGATTTGGGTCATTTAGCATTTCTTCCATGAAATTTCAGATAATATGATATAGCGTAGACTAGAATTCATTGTACAAACTTGTATCTGATATAAGCAATATCACTAGAATTTGGATCTTTTTTTTTTTTTTTTTTGACATGCAGAGTGAGACAGTGAGAGAAAGACAGAGAGAAAGGTCGTCCTTCCATTGATTCACCCCCTAAATGTCCGCCACGACCAGCGTGCTGCACTGATCTGAAGCCAGGAGCCAGGTGCTTTCTCCTGGTCTCCCATGCGGGTGCAGGGCCCAAGCACTTGGGCCATCCTCCACTGCCTTCCTGGGCCACAGCAGAGAGCTGGACTGGAAGAGGAGCAACCGGGACAGAATCCGGCGCCCCGACTGGGACCGAGGGTGCCTGCGCCGCAGGCAGAGGATTAGCCTAGTGAGCTGCAGCACTGCCTGGATCATTCTTATATGCATATGAAGGAGCACTGAGATTTAGGTGCTGTGTGGCTACGTTCTTCTACTACCCAAGTAACTCACTTTTGAATACTAGATATGACACCAGCTTCAAATGTATGTTCTAGCAAAAAAGTACAAGTTTGGAATCAGAGATTTGTGGACCTCTTAAAAAATAGTCAAAAGTGGGCCGGTGCCATGGCTTACTTGGCTAATCCTCCACCTGCGGTGCTGGCACCCTGGGTTCTGGGGGTTCTGGTCCCAGTTGGGGCGCCGGGTGCTAGTCCTGGTTGCTCCTCTTCCAGTCCAGCTCTCTGCTGTGGCCCGGGAGGGCAGCGGAGGATGGCCCAAGTGCTTGGGTCCCTGCACCCACAAGAGAGACTGGGGAGGGGAGTACCCGGCTCCTGGCTTCGGATCCGCGCAGTGCCGGCAGTAGCGGCCATTGGGGGAGTTAACCAACGGAAAGAAGACCTTTGTCTTTGTCTCTCTCTCACTGTCTGTAACTCTCTCTCTCTCTCTCTCTCTCTCTCTCACTCTCACTGTCTAACTCTGCCTGGCCAAAAAAAAAAAAAAAAAAAAAATATCGTCAAAAGTGCATGTTAAATTTGTGAACCCAAGAGTCCTGTATATGGCTGATACGGAGTCATCCTTTCGTCTGTTCAGTTAGAAGCTTGAAGAGAAGTTCTTGGGCCCCTTGCCAGTACCATTACCAGAATCATTGCCCGTATTCTGCCTCTGGTTTCTAGGGTCTCTGTTTTCGCTGTTCGTCCTGATATCTTCTAGTAAGAGTCTACACCGTCTGTCATATCCATATCCCTCTTCCCTGTTCATGGACAGTGCATTAAATGTATGATCAGGACAGTGTGGGCCCCCATTTGCCCCGCCTCTTGAGTGGCCCTGGCGTTGAATGTAGGGAATGTGAGTTCACTAGAAGTAAGATGCTCACAGGGTTGGGAGCGCAGATTTTCAGTCCCCTTTGGAAGCTGTCCATTAACCCTGTCTTGCCTGCATTTGTCTTTGCTTTTTTTTTTTTTTAATAAAACAATTTACATCAACATGTTAAAGCTTTATCCGTTTAAACTGTATACATAATAACCTTTATCAGTAAAGACCCATGTACATGATGCAAATAGTATCAAGTGCTCCTCAGCCACCCTGCTCATTCTGTGTTTGATTTGTAAGTGTGGTGTTGCTGTCCACTCCATGTATAGGTAGCTTCTTACTGGGGGTTTCCGTAGAGCATTTTCACATTGCTGTTGTACAGCATCTAATCTAAATGAGTAATGCAGGATGATAATATTACTAATCCATGACAGTACTTGGATGTTGATGTGTCTGGATTTGAGACCAGTGCTCCTGCTTTCTAGCTGAGGTTCTGTGTTATCTGTCTGATTGCCTGAGGCAGATCCTCCCCTCCAATATTTGCTTATCCATAAGATTTTCAATCCAAGAATGTTAAAAAAAAACCACATTTCTTAATTATGTTCTTTGTATGGTATCTTTACCTTAAATGTTTATTTGTAGATTTTATATCTTTTGTGGTTCAGTTCACCATATATAGAGAAATACAAGAAAACATTTCTTTTCTGAATTGCAAAATAGTCTATACTTTAGTGAAAGAATCCGCTCTTGATTTCATCGTGTAGCTCCACAGTGCAGTAGCAGAAATGGAAAAGGAAAAGTTTGATCTTCAAAAGCAACACACTGAAAATATTCAAGAATTGCTTGAGGACACAAATGTGCGTCTGAATAAAATGGAGGGTGAATACATGGCACAAACACAGTCTACAGTAAGTGAGTTTTTTCTTCTCTCTGTGACATTTTTAGAAACCATCTTCTTTAATTTCCGTGTGCTCATGCCTCTGTGAAGTGCATATAAATAAGTGTGCTACAGAATTAAAAGGAGACACTTTCTCTTCGAACTTGGAACAGATTTCTGAGTGACAATGGACAGCCCCTTGAAGTTTGCTGGGGGATTTGGCTCTGCATTGTTTGATGCCACCTCCTTTTTAAACCCTCAGAACTTTTCTTCTTGTTGCTTATTTTTTCATTGACTTTCAAAGGTAATTTTTCTTTTTTCTTTTTGTATCATTTTTTAAACTGAAGACTTCATTGATTTTTCTGAAAATATTTAATGCTAGTGAAGGATATCAAACAGGGAGAGCCTCGGTGGGACCACTGACACATTTTCTTAGCAGATCATCTTCACGGAGGGGCAAGACGCAGACGTCACCTGGGTGAAACCAGAAAGTTCCTTTTGGAAAGGCTGCGGAAGGAGATCATATGGTCAGTCAAGCAACACAGCAGAGACACCGAGGCCTTCTCCCATGCGAGCCGGAGGGGCCTCTGCAAACGCCTCCTCTCTGCGCCCGCGGCTGCGGAGTGCAGATCTGAGGAATGAGCATTTTCGGCCTTTGAAAGCCTGGACCAGCCCTGTAGTGGCTTCCCTGCCTGTGAGTCAGAGCCCCTCACAGCCAGTGCAAGTGGGCCTCCCCCGTCTTGTCACTCACTCATAATAGGACCTCCCAGAGGTCAGCGTCAGGGACTCAGTGTAATTTTCCCTCCTCTTCTGTAGGTGGTAGAAACGCCCCACAACACACCTTTCTAAAATGACAAAATAACAAAAACAACCAATTGTTACATCCTCTCGTCCATTTCTTGGAGCGTGGGCTATCTTCATCCACTCAGCAGAAGGTGCGAGTTTGTTTTCTGGGGCGAATTAAACAGTGTCAGCATGGGATTTTTTTTTTTTTTTTTTGACAGACAGCGAGAGAGGGAGACAGAGAAAGTTCTTCCTTCTGTTGGTTTACCCCCCAAATGGCCGATATGTCCGGCGCTGCTCCGGTCCAAAGCTAGGAGCCAGGTGCTTCCTCCTGGTTTCCCATGTGAGTGCAGGGGCCCAAGGGCTTAGGCTATCCTTCACTGCCTTCCCGGGCCACAGCAGAGAGCTGGACTGGAAGAGGAGCAACTGGGACTAGAACCCGGCGCCCATTTGGGATGCCTGCACCACAGGCAGAGGATTAACCAAGAGAGCCATGGCGCCGGCCCCTCAGCATGGGATTTTTACCACAGCAGTTCTGCAGTGTGGTGAACTAATTCCTGGGAGTCCATGAGACCCTTGAGAATCCCTTGTGTCCAGACTGCAAACTGACACCCCCTCCCCGCCCTGTTCCAAAGAAAAAAACAAACAAAATAAAAATCAAAGTAATTTATAAAGGAAAAAATATTAGGCCGGCGCCGCAGCTCAATAGGCTAATCCTCTGCCTAGCGGCGCCGGCACACCTGGTTCTAGTCCCGGTCGGGGCGCCGGATTCTGTCCCAGGTTGCCCCTCTTCCAGGCCAGCTCTCTGCTGTGGCCAGGGAGTACAGTGGAGGATGGCCCAAGTGCTTGGGCCATGCACCCCATGGGAGACCAGGAGAAGCACCTGGCTCCTGCCTTCGGATCAGTGCGGTGTGCCGGCAGCAGCGCGCCAGCCGCGATGGCCATTGGAGGGTGAACCAATGGCAAAGGAAGACCTTTCTCTCTGTCTCTCTCTCTCTCTCACTGTCCACTCTGCCTGTCAAAAAAAAAAAAAAAAAAAAGGAAAAAATATTAGTATGCCTTCAGATTTCTTTATCTCAATACTCAATATTCAGTTCCAGAAGACAGTGAACCTAGCCCTAAAAAATAGACCTTAGGAAAAAATGTGACCCCCTACATGGTTTTTAAATGAAAAGGACAAGAATGGTTTTTAATGTCACCAAATCTGTGATTAATATGACTGTCACTTTGTCTTTTGGTATGGGCTTTTGGGCATTATTTTGAATCCTTTATATCTGACTTAAAAATTTTTTTTAATTCTGAGAATTAAAAAATTTAATTCTGAGAAATGTATTTATGGTCATTATTTCATTAAAAAGATCTATCCTTGCCACCTCTTAGGTCTTTCTTAACGTTTCCTTATCTCCTTGTATTTTCATTCTATCCTGTTATCACAACCTATGTTCTTTTTTTTTTTTAAGATTTATTTTATTTACTTGAGAGGCTGAGTTAGAGCTGTTGTGATCACTTGGCTCATTCCCCAGACGGTCAGAACAGCTGGGGCTGGGCCAGGCTGAATCCAGGAGCCAGGAGCTCCATCTAGGTTTCCCACCTGGATGTAGGGGCCCAAGCACTAGGGCATCCTGTGCATCCCTGTGCATTAGCAAGGAATTGGATTGGAAGCTGAGCAGCTGGGACTGGAACTGGTGCCCATAAGAGATGCTGGCATTGCAGGTGGAAGCTTAATTTGTTATGCTACAATGCTGGCCCTCAATCCATATTCTTTAGTGGATTTTCTCTGGCTTGTTGGATCTATTTTTTTATTTCCACTGTTATTTTTTCTCTTAACCAGTATTTTCATCTGATTCTTTGATTAAATTTTGTTATTTTGCCTGTTAATATTATTCTTTATCTTCTTAAGTTTACTTATTAGGCTTATTTAAAATTCTTTGTCCATCTGTTCTGATAATTCACCTTCAGGATAAAATATATTAAGTTATAATTAACTTTATAATAAAATGCAATGTATTATGAACTATAATCTGTAGAATATTGTTTATATACACATAAGTATTGCTGACATTTTTTCATGTAATTTTCTGTGGGTGCCTAGTTATTTTGGATTGTGAATTCATGCTGCTTTGGGTTTATTAGTTGCTTCTACATGTTTTAAGGAAATGCTGGCAGGCTGAGTCCTCGTGTTAGATTTTTAGAATTCCTTCAAGTAGTGAGGACAAACCTCAGGGTAGAGACTCCCAAAATCATGGGAACACTGTTGAACTCCCACTGAAAATTTCCCATTTTCAGTAGGCAAATTTTGCTGATGATAAGGGAAACATGACTTTGGAGAGAGACACTCTCCCTGTATTGGAGGTAGAGAGATGATTTTTTTCTTGTTTTATTGAGGGCAAGAGAGATGTAGACAGGAAAGAGAGTGGTTTACTCCCTGAATGCCCACCGTGGATAGGGTCAGAGCTGGGAGCTGGGAATCAATGCAGGTCCAGTGGGTGGCAGAGACCCAATTGCCTGGCCATCACTGCTGCTTCCCAGGATCTGCATTGGCAGAAGACTGGAGTTGGTATTGACTCCAGGCATCCAAACGAGATGTGAGACACAGGTACCTCAGCTACTAGGCTAAACATCCACTGTCTGTCTTACTAATTTTAATCTTTTATATGTATGAGGGAAACAGTTCATGAGAAATGTGTCTGATGAAAAAAACTATGCATGAGCTTCAATTTTTTTGCATTAAAATCAGCTCATACTAGCTTGTTATAATACATCCAAACAAGATCTAATTTGAGGCTCTCAGGCAGTTAAGACATCAGTTTGAAAAGAGCCCCTATTACAGAAACATGAATTCTGCTAATTTGAAGAAAAAAAATTACATTTATGGTGAAGCTTGACTAGATGAATGGTGAAGTCACTGATACTTTATGAAAAGTTTATGAGGCCAATGCCCCAAATAAGTTAGCAGCTTACAAATGAATAACCGATTTTAAGAAACAGATGACGTGATGATGAGATTGAAGCCTGTAATGGCAGCAGTCCCCATGGATCTTCAAGGAAAGCATTAATCCTGTTCATGTCCTAAGTGAAGAAGACCAATGGCTGATAGCAGAGAGAGCGGCCAACACCACAGACTTCCCAGCTGGTTCAGTGTACACAGTCCTAACCAAAGAATCAGGTGGAGCAGACTTTCTTCTCAGTGGGCGCCAAAATGGCTGTACAGGCTCAGCTGCACACAGGAACAGAAGTCTCTGTGGAAGTTTGAAACAAAGGGGAAGAAGACCCTGAAGCATTTTTTGAATAAAGAAACATGGCTCTGCTGCTATATCCTGAAGACAAAGCACGATCTAAATGGTGGCTGCCAAGAGGTGGAAATGATCCAGTCAAAGAAGTGGATCAGTCAGGAGCAAAGGGTGTGCTGGTTTTGGGATGCTCAGGGCATTTTGCTTTTTGACTTTTTGGAGGAAAGCAGATATTGCCTGCTTCTCATGAGAGTGTTTTGAGAAGGTTAGCCAAAGCTTAGCAAAAAAAAAAAAAAAAAAAGTGCCTGGGAAACCTCAGCAGAGCCCTTCTCTGCCTTGACAGTGTTCCTGCCATTCCTCTTATCAAAAGAAGACAGTTTCGCAAGAGTTTGGATGGGAAGTCAGTGGGCATCCACTTGATGGTTCTCTTTTGGCTCCTTCTGACTTCTTTTTTGTTTCCTAGCCTTCAGTTAACAATCAAAAATAGATTGCATTAATATGGTTAAATTCCCAAGACCCTCAGTTCTTTAGGGATGGACGAAATGGATGATATTGTTGCTTACAAAACAAAAAAAACTTGATGGAGATTGTGTTGAGAAATAAGGTTTATATTTATATATTTTTTCATTCAACAGTTTATTAAAATTTATGTATGCAAATGATGGCGATAGATTCTTTAAAAAATTTAGAAATTATGAGATGGGAAGCATGCTAATTTTCTGGAATTCAGCTTTCCTAAAGCCAATTAGCTAAAGGTTTATATTTTAAATTTTTGTCTTTTAATTAACATTTTTCCATGAACTTGTTGGAATTCTTTTATATATAGCAAATATTTTACTATAATTTATTGTACATTGACTAGAATTCACAGAAAAGGTTAGATAATGGTAACAATAGTGGTTTTATTCTTTTTTATTTTTTTGACAGGCAGAGTTGGACAGTGAGAGAGAGAGAGAGAGAGAGAGAGAGAGAGAGAAAGGTCTTCTTTTTTCCATTGGTTCACTTCCCAGATGGCTGC